GTGAATAATTTTTGGTTGTTTTCAATAAATGTTGTCTTACATTTTTAGTTGACAATTTGAAAAGGTTGACAATTTGAAAAGGTTGACGCATCAGTCATAGGAGTACTGAACGTTTGTATTTGTTTGTCTTGTTATGAGGAACATTGGGAAAAATTTGGCATGCGAGTATGAAATTCGCGTTGCAAAATAACCCAATCTCCTTTTAGTGCAAATACTGAAAAAATTTTCTGCTCTAATAATTTTTTTCGTTGCTTAACTAAGTCTTCTTTTGAAGCTCAGCTTATTACTCTGCAATCTGGTTCAAGACTTTTTTCCAGTAAATAACTCTGTTCAAAAGATGATCAAAATTGGAAATAGTAAATTTAGGTTCAGTTCATAATTAGTTAAATTTTCTTTGCGGCTCCGGCGCACTTTGTCTGGAGGTAACGAATACGCCTGGGACGGCAAAGGCCCTGGATTCGAAACTGACAGGACCTGTTTTTTTTACTGAGTGAGGTGAATAATTTTTGGTTCTTTTCAATAAATATTGTCTTAAATTTTTAGTTGACAATTTGAAAAGGTTGACAATTTGAAAAGGTTGACGCATCAGTCATAGGAGTACCGAACGTTTGTATTTGTTTTTGTTTGTCTTGTTATGAGGGACATTGGAAAAAATTTGGCATGCGAGTATGAAAGACGCGTTGCAAAATAACCCAATCTCCTTTTTGTGCAAATACTGAAAAATTTTTATGCTCAAATTAATTTTTTCGTTGCTTAACTAAGTCTTCTTTTGAAGCTCAGCTTATTACTCTGCAATCTGGTTCAAGACTTTTTTTCCAGTAAACTCTGTTCAAAAAATGGTCAAAATTAGAAATGGTAAATTTAGGTTCAGTTCATAATTAGTTAAAATTTCTTTGCGGCTCCGGCGCACTTTGTCTGGAGGCAACGAATACGCCTGGGACGTCAAAGGCCCTGGATTCGAAACTGACAGGACCTGTTTTTTTTCCGTTTCCGTTTTTAAAAAAATTGTCGGACTTTTTTTTGTCTGATTATGTTTTGTCGTCTTAGTTGCCACATCGTATAATTGTTTTTTTTTGTTGTACGCTAGTTACATTGTAGTTTATTTTTAGTGTTTTGATTTTTTTCTGCTGTTCGTAATTTGACTAACCTTGACTTCGTATACATTTTTTTCTGTCGCTTAAAACCTTTTCTGCCCAAATGGTTTCGGTTTATTTTATCGACTTAGTGTCCTTATTTTGAATAGTTTCAATGAAAACGTAATTTTTATGCGCCCTTCTAAATCAGACAAAATGTTGAAAAATCTTAATAGTAGACAAATCTTCAGCCTGACAATAATTTTTTCGTTTTTTGTTTTTTTTTCTTTTCCTTTTTTCGCGTGATAGGTTTTGGCTTATATTAAATCGGCTTAATGGTCTTATATTGCGTCTTTCGACGGGCGGAAAAATTTGTATGTGCGTATGTGTGTTTTTTTTTGAAATTTTTCAGCTTCTATTTTTTTTTTGTTTTTCTTTTTCGGCTTAATAGGTTTCGACTATTTTATATCGGCTGAGTTGCCTCATATTGGTTCATATGACGAGAAAATAGATTTTCATGTGTGTGTATATTGCAGGAGAGTGCGAATTTTAAACTTCTTATAAGTCTTGTTGATTTTTTCTTTTGTCTTGGCGTTTTTTTTTTAAACTAGCCTTAATCATGTTGATAAATCTAGTTTTTGCAATATTTTCGATTTTTTCTGACTTAGCGGCTTTCTTGCTTTGCATCGCAAGTGGTGCGAAGCTCAGTTTTGCCTCTGTGTTTAATTTTACTTAACGAATAAAAAATTGCGATCCCCGATGAAAGGACAATTAGTTACCAGGTTGTTTTTTAAATTTTTTGGTGGTTTTGATTCAAAAAATTTCCTGAAATTAAAACAATAAAAGTTCATTTTTTGCACGTACGTTTTTGTATCAAAACAGCGATCAAGATAAAAAAGAACAGATTTTCGAAGAGATGTACTTGAATGTATGTTTTAAAAACAAGTGTTGCGAAAAGAAAAATTGTTCCTTTTTTGTTTCTTAGCGTTTGGTTGTAATCTGCTGATAAAAACAGCAAGAGATGCTGGATGATAATTTTGTTGTCGGTTGAAATTCGCCCAAGGCAAAGCGAGGGATTTAATTGAAAACTTCCAATTTTTTTAGGTCTAAGGAAAAACGCTTAACGTATTTAGCTGATCAAAAGCGTGTGAGGTTTTTCCCTTATTTTTTGCTCAGCCTACATCTTTTCAGGGCAGGCTGATATTTTTTCAAAACTCGAACATGTAAATTAATTTGATGGTTTCCGCCATGGGATCAAATTTCAAGAAAGTTAGCGGCTACAAAAATAGCGTAAGTTAGGGATAACAAATAAACAAGACAGCTCGTATCAGGGCAAAGCCCTGAATGATCCGACTGCCATTTAATTGGTCTGAAATTGTTTTTGGTAAGTTAAGTATTGACTCCTGTTAAAATTGATTTTAGGTTAATAAAATCAAAATTGAAGTGTTAAAAATTTAAGATGTAAAAGTGTTGAATTTTGAGTCGTGCATGGAATGAATAAAACCAATTAGCTGACTCGTTTTGTAATGCGGGATAAATCGCCAGGTGTAAAGTGTACAACGAGCAGCTAAGAAGGACTCGTGGAAGGATACTGTAGCGGTGTGCATATCTGGCTGAAAAACTACATCGAGCATCTATAATCTTCACTTTCTTCGAAAGTCGGAACAATAAAAATGTAACATTGAAGGTTAATATTCGCTGCTACAATAATTCATTGTATCTTGCCTTTTTGCCAGTTATCATTAGATCAAAAACTTAAGTTTCTGCCTGTTATTATATCTATCTATTATATATCAAATTGCAGGCTTCATAATCTGGCTTGCTATAAGATTTTTCATGTATTATTCTTGCATGTTTAACGAAAGAGTTTTCGCACGTTTAAGCTCTATCGGTTTTTGCAACACCTAAAAGTTTTTTTTCGATTTCCCAGCTTATGAAAGCTAGGATTTCTACAAGGGACGAATGTAAGGACGTAGCTATGATGCTAGCATGAGATTGGGGGGGAGGGAAGCGCAGTGTACGTTAGCCAAATATGACTGCTCCAACTCTCTCTTAGTTCAAGTTATAAAAAGATTTTATCTTAGTCTTAAAGATTTGTCAGAAGGTTTTAAAAAACTTGGACAAAACATTAATAAGTTTGAAATTTGCAACCTTCATAAGGAATTTTTTCGGGGTATTATCAAATGCTGCAAATCGTGCTTTCAAACTTGACTGCTCTAATGCTTTTTGTTTCCAAAATATGCCGTTTCTTTTTGTTTTTTTTTCAAAAATTTTCTATAAGACTTAGATGTAAAAAAAACTCATTCCCAACCTTACAATGTTGTATAGATACTCTCAGAGGTTGCAAAATTGATCTCTAAATTGTGACTACTCAATCCTTATCAGTTTTCGAGATTTTTTTTGTTTATGATTTTTTTCAAAAAGTTTTCAGAAAAACCGAGATTTAGCAGATCTTGATCAAATTTGAAATTCTCAACTCTACGGCGTGGTGCTGTCAAGGTACTGTCAAAAGGTTGAAATCAGGCCTCCAAAAAATCAGACCTCATAGTTTTAAATTCCAGGTATGATCTTTTTGTGAGCTTTCAAAATAAAAAAAATTGTAAAAGTGTAAAAAAACTTCTGTTTAAAAAACACTTCTCAAGATTTGATTTTGATGACCCTTTAGTGAAATGTTATCGATGATATCGAGGTACTCCCAGGAATTGCAGGTGTGGCCTCCATTTAAATGTGATTGCTCGATTCCTCCTTTTTTTTCCCAGATATGACGTTTTTTGATGATAGTTCAAAAAAATTATGAAAAAAACTTAACAGGTACTTCTCAAAAATCTCGACCCTATAGTGGGGTGACGCCAATTTTTTTTCCAGGAGTTGCAATTTTGGCCATCAAATATGGCTGCTCAGATCATTTCAGTCTTCGAAATTTGGCGTGTTGTGTTTTTCGAAAAAGTTTCACAAATTTGTAAGTACAACCATACAGTGTGCTGCTGCGATGGCACTTTCAGGCATTGCTAATTTATCCTTTTTGTTAAACTCTTATTAAATTTATCTCCTGAATAGAATTTCAAGTGTTTGATGTTTTTCAATTAATTGCGCCGGATTTAACCATTGATGGCAGCAAACGAAATCCTTACGAACGAATGAAACGAAATTAGACTTATAAAAATTATTACGCTGGCTCTTGCGGTTTAACTTGTTTTTTTCTTAGAATAAATTCAATTTGAGACAGACAATAAAATGTTCCTTAAATTTTCTGAATTTATTTTTCGTCACATACTGTTTTTGTGGTCTCCACTTTGGCTCTTGTCTCAAATATTTAATTTATAATTACAAAAAAATAAGGTATAGGCAGATAAAATAGACAGATATAATGACATATATATATATATAAATAAATTGTGTACAGTCAGGGATAATCATTTTCTAAGAGTCGATTAACTCAGTCAGACTGTTATATAGGTTGTGATGATTTTTTTTATCCAGGAAAAGTCTTCGAATTTGTTTAAGCTCAAGTTCACTCTTTCGCGGTTTGACTGTTGGTTTTTTTGTAAGTTCAGTGCATTTCTTTTGTTCAGAGGAAAACAAACTCCACTATCCACAGCAAAATTTAAAGGTCTCGAAAAACGTGATTGACTTTTAATATTGAAAATGAGTTTCATTTATCAGATTTCCAAGCCAAATATAAAAATTACCTACCCTAGGTTTGTCTAATTGGTTTTTTTAATCAAAAAAGTGCCAATCAGAAATTGTTTTAGAAATTCAAAGGGCTTTAAAAGTATCTATTTTTTTCTTCAAAAAAAATCAATTCAGTAATTTTTCTATTTGTGTTCTTTGACTCTTTTGCAACTGTATTTTGGCTATCTGATGATAATCACAATTGTGTACAGCCAGGGAATATTTTTTGCGCTCAATTTTTTTCCCATATTTTAGGCACTGCTGTGTCTGCACCAGGAGGACTACATCTGTCTGTGGAATCCCAGTGCCCCTCTCCAGACATTTCTGGACATCAACAGTGACGTCATCGTGAGAGTGTGCCACAAATTACTGGAGAGTCATTACTGTTGCTGTTTGGACACTCTCAGATGGCTGAGCCAGTTGTTGCAATACAGGCACTCGTTCATATACAAAAACAAGGTGGGCTAAACTTTTTTTGTGAATTTTTATCCGAGCGAGAGTTCTGATACAATTACGGGAAAATATCACTTTGATTTCTAAATTATCTCGGAAAACCCCAGCCAGTCACCTAAACGAGGTTGGCTTTTTGACCAGCTATTTTTTTTGGTAACAAGTGTAAGTTTTTTTATTTCAGGACTCGGCTAGCACGCTGACATCACACTTCAACACTCTGCACAACCTGGAGGTTAGTCAACACTTCGAATTTGTCAATTAATGGGTCACTTTAACATCATCCACCCGGGATTGAAAATGGAATGTATTTCAAGACAAAAATTTGAAAATAATGAAATTTACCTGGATAGTCTATTAAAATTTCTTCTGAATAATATTTCATTGTTATTGAAAAACAGAATAAAAGGTATCACCCAGGATAATTTCGTTCTGTATCTTGCTATGTTGTATTATGTTTATGAACATTGTACTTTTTTCTCTTAATTTTCTCTCGATTTTTTTTCAGATTTTCTATTTGATTTGATATTCTGATTTTTTTATTTGTTTTTTATGCTGATTATTTCAGTTTATTTGTGTTTCTGTTAGATGGTGTATCTGTCCTACATCTGGTGTGCTGACATTGAGTCAGTGCTGGCAGCTCTCTCTGGCTTCTCCAACCTCATAGCAGAGACAGAGATGAGATGTACCATTGAAGAGGAACCCTCGTTGCTGCCAGTACTGTTGCCCAACAGGCGAGACTCTTTTAATTACTGGCTCTCTCTCTCTCTCTCTCTCTCTCTCTCTCTCAAATATTCATTTTAAATTTCCGGATCAATTCAAATAAACCTTTGCACAACTTACTTGGTACAATGCCATAGGCTTGTACATGCATTAAGAAAAACTTTATTTGTTAAAAGGAGTTTAGTAATCGTGTTTAGGGCATCTATGAGGAGTTTTTTCAATTAAAGTTTTTTTTTTAATATCGGATAAAATAAGAAAATTTAATTCAGAAAACAATGTTTTTTAAGAGAAGTAATGCTGGACAAATTAAAAACTTAGGTTCCGAAAAGAATATCTTAATTGTTAAAAGACGTTATTTGATCGTGTTAAGGTCCATCTATGAGGAAATTTTTTCGAATAAAGCCTTTTAATGTCAGAAAGAAAAGAAAAAGAAAATTTAACTCAGAAAACAGGATTACCTTCATTTCTAAAAACACAAAAATAATTTTGTTAATTGTAATTATACAAACTTAGATTTTTTTAAAGTCGAGTAAAATAATGAAGTTAGTATCAGTACACAGAAGAATGTCTTTATTTTGTGAAAATTAAATTTTTCCAATCGTGTTTAGGGCCATCTATGTGGAGCTTTGTTTCCAAGCTCTTTAATGTCTTATAAACAAGAAAATCAAAACAAAATCCAGAAAACAGAAATATGAGTTAGGACCGAAGTGTAACTCATAGAGTAATTTCGGATAGGGTACACCGTCTGCTCGTCACGCTATCTTATTTTCGGCCGGATAGATTCGTGCAACTTCTTAGTCTAATACCGATCCTAATCTTACTCTTATACTATCTAGTCTCAGGTTGTTTAACTAGTCTCTGCTAGGCTCAATAGATCTAGGGTATACTGGTTTATTGCGGCTGCTGAAGTGCTCGGGAGAGTCCAACTAATTTCTAAGTTAAATTCAAATCTCTCTGGTGCTGAAATTACAAGTAACTTCAGCACTTACAAATAAGTGGGTTGTTAGTTAGATGGATCATGATTGGTTAATATTAAATACTTTACATTGGTAAAACATTTAATTTATCCAATCATAAAATGTAGTTTAGATCAGGTTCCACCCATCCGGGTTTTACAGAGTTTTTTAGAACAGTTCTTCTGTAATTCAAGGGTGGATGATGGACGTTGGTATTTGGCGAACATCATATTTTTCTTCCGCTTCTTCTTGTGACAACGACTGGGTCTTTGCAACAAAATCAATTCTGATTTCAGAATGGTTGGCTATGTCAGGTTTTTCTGTTCTTCGTGGAGAACTTCTTTTGTGTCTGATCTTAGCTTGGGAATGGCGTGGAGATTGTGCGTGGAGGGGATGCCTGGTTACTCGGATCTGTACGTACACTTGGGTCATCGAGGTGGTCATTGGTCTGGTTCAATGAAGTCCTTTTCTGCGAGGTCAAGTCGTACTCTAAATCCTTTGAGTTGTGATTGTGAGCGGCATATCGATTGTAGTTGGTCATTCTCTCTCGAGTGTAGTGGGGTCGTCTTGTCTTTTGATGTTCGTCCTTGGTGTTGTATTCTGATCTATATATTGCATCATGTGATTTTACATTTTATAAAACTTTTATTAGTTTAATATTTTTTAATAATGATTTTAGTTAGTTGTTTTCACAAAAGCTTTTTGTTTTAGTTCGGTTATTTTGAAGAGTTACTCACCCTTGAGTAGCTCTTATTAAAAATAAAGGTGTGGTCACAAAGCGTGGATGTAGCACGGTGGGTTAGGCCGGCTATAGAGCATGCTCAGGACGTCCTTCCTGGTGGGTTAGGCCAGGTGTGGGAGTATGATTTCATGCGGTTTTTGTGAGGGGTCCTGTTATGTGACAACGTTTTATGTTGGGTTGGTTGTGGTTTTACTTGTGTCTTGTTGGTTATGTACTTTTTTCAAAAAGCAAATTGTTTGTGGTATGGGTTTGTCTTTCGACTTTTTTGTGTTTTATTATTTCTTTCTAAGACTTTGTAATAGTCTTCAAAAGAATAAATTATCCAGTTTTAAACTGGGTTAATCCGGTTTGGGTACCGTTGGTTTCCTTTTCTAAGTCATGCTGTTATTCTATGATTTGTGGTATTTAGTAAGCTGCGTTGATTAGTTTTGTTTAGTATATGATTCCTTTCCAACCGGGTTAAAGGAAAGTTTGAAACATGTTATTGTATGTTAGAGTTGTTGAGTGTGAAAACTTGAAACTGAAATTCATTATTTTAAACAATTCTTCGTGGGCGAGCTGTGCGAGTGTGGATAGAATTTCTGTGCGAATGAATGAAAATATCAAAAGGTTAGTACTGCAATTGCATTTTATTAATTTACTGCATAGAATTTGGAAATTTACTGCTAGTTATGGGGGAATTTTAAGATACAAATTTTCATTATAATTAGATTTACTACTTTTGGGGGGAAAATTTTATAAATTAATTTACTGCATTGGTATTATATTTATTTAATTGTTGGTGCAAAAGTTTAATAGGGTCTTAAACAGTTTTGAAGAAGTTTGCTATTTTTTATTTTTTCTTTTGTGAATGTTTCAGATGATCTAGGATGAAGGCTAAAAATCTAAAGAAAACATGATTAAAGAATGGTGAGTTTTTCAATATTTTAATTAGTTAGTAATATTCATTGAATTCATACTTACCTGTTAGTCGTCGGGGAAAAAACCGTGGGGGAAGATGTCGTGAATTAGTTCTGAAGTTGTTAGTAGTTTAGCTAGAATGCGGATGATATTTTTAGTCTGAAGTAGTGGCCAAAGCAATTGAAGTGCCTTAATAGTGGTTAGTTCTTCAGTGCCTACTGCAAACTCATAAGGTGTGTTTTGGATTAAGTTATATAATTTGTGGTTAAATTTAGTGTTGTGGATGAATTCTAAAATTGGGATTTCTATAGGTTGTAGGAACTCGTGCGGGATAAGGAAGGGTCGGGATTCTTCGGCGTTGAAGGTCTTGGTGATGGGGCAGAAAATGTACATTTGGGTTATGGGGTCATAATTACGAAGAATACCATGGAGGTTAGTGTCTTTAATACAATATGTGAAATTTAGGAAATACGGTGAAGTGTATTTTGAGTTGATGAATTGGAAACGATGGTGTGGTTGTCTAGAGGGTGTGTGGAGGTCAAAGTGATTTTGGATGAAACGATAGTAACTGTATGTATGTGTTTGCTTAGTGCGCAACATAATATCATGTGAGCAGTGCAAATCTCTTTCGTGTGGTGCAAGGAAATGAAAGGTTAGTGAAAAGATTTGGAAGCGTTCTTTAAAACTTTCGTATGCTTGTGTGTTTGTTAGTGCTTCTGAAATAATGTGATCAAACTTTCGGTCGAAGATGTTTAGTGTAAATACATATGGTGTCTTGATGAAAAATTTCTCGGTGATTTGTGGATTAGCGAAGCGATCGTCGTCTAAGAATTGATCTTGGTTAGCTCTAATGATGTTGTGATCGTAGTATTCTAGTGTATATTCATTAGCTCTAGGTGCAGTGTGTATTTTTAGTGATTTTTTATATCCAACGTAAGTAAACTGTCTAGCGGTTAGTGGTGTAGTTAGTCGATATAGCATGTCTTTGTTTCGTTCTATATCGATGGAAGTGTTGGATAAAGGTAAGCAAAGAGGGTTAGTGAAATGATAGTATGAGGTCCAAGAGAGAGTGGGCATTAAAACGTATTCATCTACAAAGTTGCGTGTTTCGTTAGCGTCGTGAGGGGTGTTTAAAGTGTATTGTGGAAATGAGGGTAGAGTGATAGCTAAAAATTCTTTAGTGTTAGTATGCTGGGGGTGGTTGATGTATTCACGGGCTGTTCCTGGTTTTGCTGGGAAAGGATGGTTGGGGAATTTTCTTTTAAAAGTGCGGTAAGCTCTATTAGTGTTGAGTGAAGATATAGTGGATGTGGATGATGGTGTTAATGATTCAGTATAATTTGAAGAGGGTGTAGGGGGATTGGATGAATTTGTAGTGGAGGAGATTTGGTTTATGGTCGGGGTGTTAAGATGGTAGGGTTGTTGTTGAAGGGTAATAAAATTATCTAGTTCTGGGGAGATTCGGGGGGTGTCTGGAGAATGAGATGATTGGTCAGAATGGTATGAGGAGTAGGTTGGGGTAACTTGGGAAGCATAAGAGGGTGTGGGGGTGATTGGGTCAGGGTTATTTGACAATATGGGTTGAAAAGGAGGTTGAGAAAAATTAGAAGGGTTATGAAAATTATTGGATGGGGATGGTTCTGAGTCGGCAAATTCATCGGGGGTTTCAATATTCGGGTTATTTAGCTGTGAGATGGAGTATAAAACTGAAATATGTGAGTTAGTGTCGGAATTCATGCCTGATGTTACATTGCTAGATGGAAAATCGGGTGGCGGAAAAGCAAAAAGTGGTATGATTGGGATTGAAGAGGTAAGATTGGTTGGATGGGAATTTGATCGGTGGAGTGATCCAAGTTGGCGGCTCATCGTGGGCTAAAAAAATGATTATTTTGAGACTGAAAAGCGGTGGTATGGGGTTGTTCAATAATTTGTTCATAAGTATTATCATCTTGTGACTGGTGTGTCATTATATGTTGGACGGGACTTTGTGATATATTGAGTCGAAAATTTGGATTATGTGTGATTGCTAAATTTCGAAAATTTCGTGGGACTAGGGATAGTGGATGGTTATTTGGTAGGGGTGGTAGTTGTGGTGCCGTTGGCTGTGTGTCGACATTGTTATGTTCTTCGTCGTATGTATTTTGTCGTGTTGTTATTTTTGTGTTATATTCTTTTATTTGTGCGTCTAAAAGAATTTTGTTTATAGATGTAGAAAAGATTCCAAAAAATCCTGCAAAGAGTATGCGTGCTACGCTTGCTTGTCTGTTTACTTGTGTGTGTATAGCACATGTATTGTAGATTCCTTTTAAAAGTGAGAAAAGAAATCCAATAAAGTTAAACATTGCGTATAAAATAGTCAATTTTTCTAAGATGTAGTAGGGCCATCCTAGAAAATCAAGGATTTCATTCTTGA